AGAGAGAGAGAGAGAGAGAGAGAGAGAGAGAGAGAGAGGGAGGGAGGAAGTAAGAGAGTGAGAAAGGAAGCTGCCAGGTCCAGGACTCGAACCACAATCGGCCATGTAAGAGTCCTGCACCTTAAGCCTACACACTACCTGCTGGCCCTAAGAATTTGCTTTTCTTCTTTCTTGAATCCCAGTGAGGACAGGAAGTTTATATTAATTTTGTGAACTAGCTGTTCATTCTAACTCTTTTTTATTTATTTATTTATTTTCTTTCTTTGCCATAAGGTACGTGTACTCTTTGGACAGAGAAAGAGAGAGGGAAAATGAGGAATCGTTCCCAGGGAGAATGGCCAGGCTTCCATCCCTACTCCTCCATTCTCCTCTTGAGATTTTGGGCACGCATTGACACATATCAGCGAGGTCTGGGACTCAAACCACAGTGAGCCATGTAGGAATCCAGTTCCTAACCCCCACTCCACCTGCTGGCCCTCTTCATTATAACTCTTGATGTAATTCTTAGGCCATTCAGTTTAGCAGTCTGTTAAAAGGCCTTTTTAAAGAAGTAGCCTAGAAAGAGCTCGGTCTGATACAACTTTTATCCCTGAAGAGTAATTTAGTTGCAGCTGTGCCATTGGTTTACTGTGACTTCTTAAGAGAAAGGCCTACCTTTTCAGACTGCATTTTCCTGATCCATCATCTTCACAGGGGGATTGCACAGATCTGGTAGTGATGGGGAAAAAAAATTAAATAGAAACCCCCAAAATAGATTTTTATCAAGGAAAAACCATATCATAATTCTTGGTACTATTATATTTCATTAAATGCTAAACACTATTTCTTAGTCACTGTGTGTTTTTTTGAAAATGTTTCTTGGCATATGACTGAAAGAATATTCACATACATTTATTTAGTTTGGCTATTATGATGTTATATACATTTGTAAACACAAACACATAAAGTGATTTTTTTCCATCACCAACCAGAAAATATTTGAAAAATATACTATTCCCTTTTGCAAAGAGAGAACATTATATCCTTTAAAAAAATAACTAAAGTGAGTTTTACATCTGGAAACATCATTATAATAGATTACATTTGTGGAGTAGTTTATGTTCTTCAAAGCACACTCACAATTTCATTTGGTACAGTAATATTCGAAGCAGGCTAGGCATATGTTATTATTCCCATTTTATAGAAAGCATAACTAGAATTATAAGGAGATTGTCCAAGGTCATATAGCTAGCAAAATGTAGAAAGGAGGTAGAAATCTGTTTTTTCCCCCAAATCTATTTACTTTTACTGTGTTGTTCTCCCTTTCATAATGTTTTAATTATTTCATTGTAATGAAGATTGCAGTTTTACAGGAAGTTCATAATAACATGGAAATTTGTCTAATTAGATATAATTTTGTCAGGGAGTAGAAATCAACTCAAATAATAGAATTATTACAAGCATACAATCACAGAATTCTATTTCAGTATGTCAGATAATTCTCTGAGGACTTAAACGTTCCTATAAAGAAATGCCTATCTGTCTGTCTTGTTTTGATGTTACATGGTTATCCCATATCTTCTTTTTCTCTCCTATGCTTTATCCTTTTATCTTTTTTCTATTTACATGCTTTCTTAAGTCTTCTCATTGCTTCTTTGAGCCAATTCAACATCACCTTTCAGTTCTAGCTCGGATTGCCTTGTTCTCTCAAACCTCATTAACTCCTAGTTCAGTCTGCAAGTGCAGGTATTTTCCTAGGACTGCTTATCCCAGGTCTGTGGAAGAGCACTGAGCATCAGTTAAGAGTATACGCTCTAATACATACTGCCAGGGCTCCAGTTCTGGCTTTCCCCTGAATAGTTATGTGATTGAGTGAATTATTTGGCTTTCTGTGTAAAATGGGGATAACAGTAGCTTGAATTTCATAGGATTGTTTTGAAAATTAAATGAGCATGCAAAGTACTCGAAACAGTGTTTGGTACATAGTAAGTAGATACTGAATGCATATTGCCTGTCATTATTAAGAGGTCTGAGCATGCAAGTAGTGATTGTTAGGAATAGTAGAGCAATGGAGTTTCTTAATTAAGAGAAGTCAGAAAGTTAGAACAAGATGTCCTATGAAGATAGTAACTTACTAACTTTACAATACTTATTGTCTCCTCAGTGCCAGTAACTGATCCAAGCCTTTAGGATAAATCAGTGAACAACAACTGTAAGAACAAGAGATTCTTGCTTACTTTTTAGTGAAGAAAAGCAGATAATAAATAATAAACAAAACAAATAAGTAAATCATGTAGTATGATAAAAGGTGATGAATGCTATTGGAAGAAGAAAAGGTACCTGGGTTAAGGAAATCAGAAGTCTGGTGAATGTTGCAGGTTGGTCTTATTTTAGAGCAAGATCTTGAGGGTAAGTTATCATTGAAGGGGCAAGAGCATTCTAGGCAGAGAGTGTAACTAGAATGAAGATCTGAAGATAGGGAAGTTCTTGGCAAGGTTAGGAAGTAATCAGGAAGCTGTGGTAGCTGGAATGGTGTGAACAAAGAAAAGTATGCAGCAGATTAGACCAGAGAGGTCCATGGCAGGTCATTGTA